AATTAATTATGCGAGCTGCGTGTTTCTGATGACGATAGAGAAATTTAAGTTTGGTTTTGTGAGCGCTTCCCCATATAATATTGGCATTATATTATATATTGGTTAATATGGCAATGAATAAATGAATAATATAGTTGAGTTAGTTGCTTTTTGTTTAGTATATATCGAGCTTTGTATAGAACTCCAATGTTTTTAGCAACTTTCATTGAAATACTATCAATTTGCTGACTCGAAGATAAGTTTTCATCTATTATGACTCCTAAAAATTTTGTAAATTTTTCTCTTTTTATGATTGTATTGTCAATGAATAGGTCAGGTAAGATATTTTGGATTCTCTTTTTTTTAGAGGTTGGGTGAAAAAGTATAAACTTTTTTTTATCCGTATTCAAGGACAATTTATTTTTTCTAAACCAATATGATATTCTTTTTAATTCATTATTCATGTTATTAAAAAGTACTTCTATGTTTTCGTGCGACTGAAATAAATTCGTATCATCTGCAAAATTTAAGGTCGTTAGAGTAGAAGCTTTGTAAAGATCATGTATGTATAATAGAAATAATAGTGGTCCAAATATGGACCCTTGGGGGACACCGCATGTTATATTTTTTATTATTTGCGATGAAGATTCTTTGTTATAAACAAATTGTTTGCGGTTACTTATATAGCTTTTGAACCAATTTAGGGTTTTATCTTTTATACTATAGCTCTCTAGCTTTTTTATTAAAATATGATGATTAACAGTATCAAAAGCTTTTGACAAGTCAATGAATATGCCTAGTGTGAATTGAGAATTCTTAAATGAATCGGCCATACTGCGTGTTACTTGGAGAATAGCGTGTTCAGTAGAACTGTTTCTCTGAAAACCAAATTGATTTTTATAAAGGAGTTTATTATCAATAAGATAAGTGTAAATTCTATTATACATTATTCTTTCTAATATTTTTGAAGACCGGTAGAACTGAGATAGGACGATAGTTTGTTATGTTGGTATGGTCACCTGTTTTAAAGATTGGAGTTACTTTGGCTATTTTCAAACTATTTAGAAACGATCCTTGAGTAATAGATGCTTTGAAGACTTTGAAGAGGATATCTTTAGTCTCATTAAAAGAGTCGATTACAATATTTCCATTTATATCATCAGGCCCTATTGATTTATTCCTTTTTAATGATTTAAATGTAATTTCGAATTCATTATAAATTAGATTTAAAAAATTTATAGTTGAATTTGGTGATGATATAAATTCATCAACAGAGTTGTTGTCTACATAAGGAATCTTGTTTGATAGGTTAAGTCCTAATGACGAAAAAAAGTTATTGAATTCGGCTGCGATTTCATTTGAATCGGTAATTAACTTATTTTCAAATTTTATAGCATTCGGCATCGTATTTGTGTTTGTCTTATGTTTGCTAGTAATTTCTTTCATTATTTGCCACACCCGCCTTGAATTATGCTTGTGTTTTATAAGCAAGTCAGAGTAGTAAATTTGTTTGGCTTTTTTTCGGAGTTTTTCAAATAGATTTTTGTAAACTGTGTAGTTATTTTTATGTTGTCGGATTTATTTTTAAGATATTTAATATAGAGTTTTTGTTTTATTTTTGATGATTTTTTTATTCCTTTAGTTATCCAATGACAAGATATGTCTGTGGCGTTAAGAACTATTTCTCGAATAGGAAAATTTGCTTCATATATTTTGTAAAATATATTAAAAAAAGATTTGTAGATGATATTTATATCCTCATTAAAGTTTATATAGCTCCAGTCTCGGTGTAAAAGTCGCTCTATAAATAAATTTAAGTTATTGTTGCTATAAATTCGTTTTTTTAATGTTATTTTACCATTCGTATTTGTTTTGTGGTCAGCGCCTAAGCAGAAAAAAATTGGAAAGTGATCCGAAACATCAATTTTTATAATACCTTTTTTGAGTGTAATATTGAAATAGTCATTGGTAAGAACGTTGTCAATTAAGGAGGATAAAGACTTTGTAATTCTAGTAGGTTTATTTATAATGGGTATTGTTCCCGTTTCAAATAAATGATTATAAAACTTTGTTATATTTTTTTTTTTTCGTTATACTGGAAGCAGTCAAGTTTGAAATCCCCCAGTATATAATTTTTTTTCTTTTCTTGGCTAGTTTTTTCTATTATATTATGAACTAGATAATTACTTAGGTACTCAGTTCATCCGGTTGGTGGCCGATAACAGCAGCTTATTAAAATATTTTTAGATTTTTTATTTATTATTTCAACCGTTAAAATCTCAATATTATCATCAGAAACACTCTTATCGCTTCGAATATTATACGCAAAGTTTTCTTTTATGTAAAAAAGAACTCCTCCTCCACGCTTATTAACATTACGCTCTATGAAGACTGTATTATTTCTATCATTTGAGAATGCATATTTGGGTGGTTCTTATCAATTCGGATAAAAAAAATTTATTATAACAAGATATCTCGTTAAAAGCACACTACCATCTCCTACACTTTTTCCACGTAATCTACATAATGTTCTTAGTTTTGTGTGTTTTTATTGCTAAAATGTAAGATTTGTTTTGACCGGACGCTAATTTTTTTTTTTTTTTTTATGATAAAGATAAAACATTTTTTTTAAATAAATAAAGCTTTAAAGCATAAAAAATTGTAATAAACGCTTAATTATTATGTTTTTGGAAGAGTGGATAACCATAAAACCAATTCCAACTTTTTCGTGCATTTTATCACATAAAAATTGATAAATTTAAGTGTTTTGCTTAGGATTGTTTGCGGTAAACAAAAACTTAAGAGAATTTCGCATTTTTATCTTCCGTTTTTCAGATTGCTATTTTGGAAGTTGTACATGTGCAAATTAACCACAATAACGCATGGTGCGAAAAAAATAAATAATTATAATTTCGTAATAACTTTTTACGAAAAAAAATTTGCGAAACAAATTATTTCGAAAGAACACTTGCGAAACAGTTCCTTACGGAAGGAGCGTTTCGGAATATGCGCTTACGGTAAAGACTCGAAAGTATTCATTAAACTTTTATACAAAAATGTGTTATATATTTTATTTAAATTTAAAAAAATGTTGTTAAATGATTCTTCAATTTATACATACGTACATATATATATATAATATATATATATATATATATATATATATATATATATATATATATATATATATATATATATATTTAAACAATTTTAAAAAAATGTATTCTACAAAATAGAGTGCTCAATGTTCTTAAAAGAACAGAGCAATTATAAGTTAGTAGAAAAAAAAAATATATATATATATATATATATATATATATATATATATATATATATATATATATATATTTAAACAATTTTAAAAAAATGTATTCTACAAAATAGAGTGCTCAATGTTCTTAAAAGAACAGAGCAATTATAAGTTAGTAGAAAAAAAAAAAAAAAAAAATATATATATATATATATATATATATATATATATATATATATATATATATATATATATATATATATATATATATATATTTAAACAATTTTAAAAAAATGTATTCTACAAAATAGAGTGCTCAATGTTCTTAAAAGAACAGAGCAATTATAAGTTAGTAGAAAAAAAAAAAAAATATATATATATATATATATATATATATATATATATATATATATATATATATATATATTTGGCTTTGCAGAAATGGGGATTTACTATTTATACTCTCATATATAAAAATCCAGTAAATTATTTGGTTCCGTAAGAAAGTTTAGTTTATCTTCACGTGTTGTTTGTCCTTTGTTAGTTCTTACTGAATCTTGCAATTAATTTATCACTACCTTTTAGACTAGCTACAGCTCTGAAACTTTTAGCGATGGTATAGTCCTGGTAAGCTTTTATGTTAAAATTGTTTCCACTTAAATTTTACTTCTAAAACAATTATTTTTTATTGTGAAACACGCAATTTAGCCATTATCGTGATAATATTTTTAAAAATTGAACTTTTAGGTAAAAAAAAATTTTACGAAAAAATAGTTTTCTGCTATTCAAGCATCTCTTCTTTTCCTTAGATATCTTTTTGTTTTTTCAATACAAAAAAAAATTATTTGAATAACTGAAAATTTGCTATGGTACTTTTTAAAGATAATAGCTTGAATGGGGATCTACCAGCTTAAGGTAATAAAAGCGAAAGCTCATATAACAGAGCACCTCGAAAATAAAAAAAAGTGAAACTGACTAAACATAAAATCATTCTATTTGAAAACAAGTGAGAGCTATTTTTATGTATTTTAATATAAAATTAAGTTTTACCATTCATTACTCAAATTAGGTTCTTTTTTGATTTTAATAACAGGATTGTTTCCCAATTACGCAATTGCATTCGTATGTTAACGTTATTCAAGATATCTTCACTATTTAATTCTTATTCATTAAATGACATTTAAAAAAATATATTCTATGAAAGTCTTGGTTTATTTATAAAAGTTTACAATTGAAACTTATTAATATCATATAATAGTTAGTATTTTATTTACTTTTTAATTATACGTATTTGATTCATAAAACGTAATTAAGTATATTTATTATGCCACGTTTCGTAAATTTTTTCCGTTAAAAATAGTTTCCCAAGTTGCGGTGCGAAATAGTTTCGTTTCGAAAGAAATATGGTTTTTTAACATTATTGCAAAAAATAAAACCTCTAAATATTAATACGTTCTAATAATGTAAATAAGATTTCATTATAAACATTTTGGTATATAAATTTTTTATTTTTTTACAATTATATCCAACAAACTCTGTATATTGACTTCAAAATGTCATTTAGTAAAATTTTATTTTTAACAAATCCCCCTTAAATACACTTGATACTTTAAAATAGTGAAATATGGTTTAAACAAAAAAAGTTATTCAGTTTTAGAATATTAGGTTTAGTTTAAAGAATATTAGAACTTAGTTTAAAGTTTTTTAAAGATTTAACTTGTTTATAATATGAGCAAAAAAAATTTCTTACTTGTATATATTCCTTACTTACTTGTACACATATTCGTTACGGTCATGTTTCTTATAAATCCAGGTTGTGCAATAACCCAAGGACTGCTAATATATAGGTTGACATTTTCAAAATTTCTAGCATCATTATTTTGTATTGTGTTTATAATTTCTCCATTAACTTGAACTGAATAATTATAATAACCATTAAGTTTTCGTTGACTTATAACAAAGCTTGTCCAATCCAATAAGTTAATATATTTCGTGATAACCGCATAACAAATTTCACCATTAACTGATCCACAAATTTGAACGCCATCAAACAAATGATTACAGACAAAAACAGCTGGACATCTGTCGCCATAATTTGAATAATCACTACTAATGGTAAATTGTAATATGCTTGCACATGTATAGGTAATGAACGAAGTTAGTTGTAAGTCAAATGCTATTTCATATTCTTTAGGTACAGCTTTGAATGTTGCTATCAATAAACCTTGTTGAATACTTGTTTCTTCTTCAATAGAAAACGCTTCTAAAACAAAGTTGACAAAGATATTAAATTTGTACTTTAATTAATTTAAAACACCCTAAAAGAACACTTTAATGTCGAAACAAAACTTTAATGTTAACGCTGGTAAAAGATAATCTACTAATCTTTTAAAAACTGCTGAATAGTCTTTAATGAGTATTTCGTTTAAACAAAAAATTAAGTATTTATCCAAGTCATAAACTGTGTTTTTTGTAAAGAACTCAGGGATGGTATTGAGGAGACGGGGGCATGATGCTACAATTGCTACAATAACTTTTTTTGGATTAGTGACTTATGTTTTATGCAATTACTTGACAGTAAAGATAGATAAAAAAATTAAATTCATGAAGTCCTAATTTATTGATATGACGTTGACACACAGAAGCCGGAAAAAAAGTATTTCTAATAGATTAGGTTTAGAAAGTTTGAAGTTTGGAAGTTTTTGGAAGTTTGAAGAAAAATTTAATATTATTTACTTCTGGATCAAATAAAAGTAAATTTAAGGAGTTGAAAACGTGATATTAGTTCCGAGTCATCACCATGAGTGATGACTCTGAAGTTCTTTTTCTGTTAGTTGATAAAGTACCTATTAGTTTATTTGTAATTCATAAACTCAATTAGATCCCTTAATCATGCCATTAATAAAGCTTGAAGTAAATGCTTCGCAAGTTTAAAAATGAAAAATGTTTTTCTTGGAATACAATTTTATAAAACCTCCTGGATTGTTAATTTAAAACCGTTAATGTATACTATATTCAATATGCAAGGTGACATTTTACAATATTTGCCATATCTGGGGCGGATCTTCTAATGATGCCCTTTCTCTTTAAGACAAGGTGCAAAAACGCATTGTAAACATAGTTGGACCTGCTCTTGCAGCCAACCTTCAACCTCTGTCACATTGTCGTAATGTTGCTTCTCTTTCTCTTTTCTACAAATACTATAATGAGCACTGCTCGAAAGAGCTAGCGTCTCTTGTACCATCTACTAAAATTCATTCTCGTGTTACTCGTCATTCGATTAAGTCTCATCCTTTTTCTGTTACTGTTCCTAAGTGCTCCAAAAACTCTTATTCGTCTAGTTTTTTTCTTCGAACATCAGTTTTTTGGAATTCGCTTCCTTCATCTTGCTTTCCTGATTTATATAATTTGCAATCTTTTAAGTTGTCTGTCAATCGTTTTCTTGCTCTACAATCTTCATCTTTTCTCTTCCAGTAATTTCCAACACTAGTTAGTGGTTGCTTGCAGCCTTGTTGGAAGCAAAGATAAATAAATAAAAAAGAATATATATTTATATTAATTACGTGTAGTACAAATTTACAAATTTTAATGAAAAGACAACCGTTAATTTAAAACAGTTATTTTGCGTTAAGTTTTTGATAAAAATAGATATGTAATTTTTTGAGCACAATAAACCTTAAATTTTTTTGTATCCAATGGCTGAAAAACACCTTGTTATAATTTTAATATAAATGAGTTAGATTCAGAACGGAGGAACTTAATACTTGCTCAAATAAACGTTTTGTAAAGTTTTTTCAAATTCAATATAAATAAAATTATTTTATATTGTATGAAAAAAATTAGTAATTAATTTATTTACACTATTTTATTTCTCATATTATTTACACCATTCTACTATTTTTCATAAGTTCATCATATGTAACCTATAAAAGTACAATCAATATGGAACAACGGATACTTATTGTGCGTATGCATATGTCTTTTTTAAAAATGGTAACTTTTAAATGCGTGAAGAATTTTGGTGCTAAGTAGGCCGGTGTAGCTTAACATTGACCATAATATGGGTTTTAAGAGCATTTATATAAGAGATCCTTACTTTTGACTTACGAATATCTTCTATTAGGTCACCCACAGTGCCCTAATAGAAGATCACCCACAATTAGAGTGATTTGTAAAAAGTTCGTAGAGTTGAATAAAGCTAATTTGCAAACTTTACTTTGTATTTAGCGAGCGCATTGTGCTGTTGCAATATTAAGCAAAAATAAATAAGATTTACCATGGAGTGTGGTCCGTAAATATGAGACTGTCCTAGAAGTATTGATGTAATAATGGTGCAATATCTTGGCCAATATTGGACAAGAAATGCGATGTTGCACTAAAAATGGTAAACAATATTGCGCCAATATTGGTATACCAATATTCGCAAGTATTAGCACGCCGATGTCGCTCCAATATTATTTGTCCAATTTTAGAATGTCAATATAGGGGTCGTTTTGGCAACTCATATTGGCCTATTTGAAATGCAAATATTGGCGAATTAGCTTGTTAATATTGACACTTTTACATAGTTGTACGCATATTTAACAAAAATTGCTTTGAAAATAAACTGTTTTAACGATTCTCGTTAGTTTTGGCCTTTTATTGGATTTTCAAATGCTGTAATTTTTCAGAAAACTGCCAGTATTTGTTTTATTGAATTCTGAAGGTTTTAAATCACCATAATGGATTATTAATAATTCATTATGGTGTGTTTTTGGAAAGTTGGAAATATGTATGCATGTATGTAAGTATGTATGTATGTATGTATGTATGTATGTATGTATGTATGTATGTATGTATGTATGTATGTATGTATGTATGTATGTATGTATGTATGTATGTATGTATGTATGTATGTATGTATGTATGTATGTATGTATGTATGTATGTTGGCCGACTCTTACGGTAACATTAGGTAATTCTTACTTTTGGCAATTACTGAATGTAACTTGGTAAAATCTAATTTATTTAAAACCGATATTTTAAAATTTTCATATCTTTTTTTAGCTGAGCAGAAATAATTTCAAACTTGACCAGAGATAGGTAGACTTTGCTTCTTTTTTCAGCTTGTTGTTTGAATGAAATTATTGAGCTTGATAATAAGAACGAAGAATTTGCTTTTTTTATTTTTGTTGTTCACTGAATGTTTTTCATAGCCTAATGGGCACGGACCTAATAGAAACGTTTTTAACACGTTCAAAAGACGTCTAAAACGTGCCAAAAACCTTCAAAAGACCAATTTCAAAACGTCCCAAAGACTTTTAAAAGACGTCTTTTTTACGTCCCGCGCCCACTGGGAAAGCTTTTGTATTCCAATCTAGCAAATCAAGCAGTTTTGCAGCAAATCGGCAGTTAAATATAGTTTAAGTCGGTAGCTTGTTATGAATTGAATCAAAATTAAACAGCGCCTGCTATAAAACGCTTTTGTTATCTTGATTTAAATTTTTAAGCAGCCAATGTCGGTTATCATTTTTAGTTGGTAATGGAACCTTTTCAGTTTTAAAATCCAATCTGCTTTTACAATCTTATGTACTCTTTTAATAACAAATGGTATAAGTTCTTAAAAATCTACACAACAATTATTTTAAATATTGTACTTAATCATGTAACATATTAAACATTACCATTAAGCATTCTAGATAATGCACTGGCTAGTCTAACTTTTTAGGTTTAGAAAATAATAAAAGGTGCAAAACCAAACAATAAACTTTTTTAAAATCTTATTAAAAGAGGTAAGAGCCCTGCCGTTTTTATACATTTATGACCCAGGAATTCTGCAGTGTGTTCAATGCCAACTTTATCTGTTAGCATAAATGTTTTTCTATTGTTGAAATGTTAAATTGCTAGTTAGATAACGCACTATTTATTTCTCTATTTTTTTGATCACTTGAAAAACAGTATTTAAATACTCGTGTAATGAAAAAAAAAAATTCATTGCAACGTTTTACATTTAGACTTATTTAATTTAACAAAAAAATGTTCTCCATGTCACCACTACTATACCACTTTTTCATTTTAAGACACTTTCATGAGACTTTGGGATATTATATATAATTTAAGATTAATTTAGGTATTTACGGCAGTAATGAAAAAGTAATGAGAAAATTAAAATATACTGTTAGTTAGTAAGAGCGGACGTGACGCAGTGGTTACAGCGCTTGCTTATAAGCAGGAGATCCAGTTTCAAAACGAGCTCTGGACGTATTTTTGCGTCACGGTAAGGAAAGTGGGACAAACCAATCGACATCCTAATAAGATTTTAAGCTTTTTTATTAATTAGTAATGACTTGTTATCGGAGATAATTTTGTATTAAATTAAATAAGTCTTAATATATTAGGTTATTTGACAATACTTTTGTTTCAGTTATATAAGTTTTGAAAAACAGGTTTATACACTAGGGTACGTCATACTAAAAAACTTTGAAAAATTACATTTGGGGAGTGATTTTATTATGGGTTGGGGTAAGCTAAGCAATATTCAAACAAATTTTTTTTTTTTTTTATTATGTAAAAATTAACTTGAAAAATGTAAAAAAGCGCTAAAAAATGCATTTTTACGACAAAAAAATTTCAAAACTTTAACTAACGCATATTAAAATTTCAATTATCCAATTTTTAACAAGTCCATTTGTAGTTGTAATCTATAAATTATAGAACACAGTTACTTTGCGTTAGTAGTGAAATTAATTGTGTATATTTCTATATTAAAAAATTTGCAATATTTGTTGATTTTACTTGTGATTTTTTATTACAATTGTTTCCGTTTTACAGTAAAAAAAAAAAAAAAAAAAAAAATAGAATATTGTGTTATGGAGAGTTTAAAATTGACTAGACATTCTTCTACAATTAATTTAACTAAGTATCTTGAAGTAGGAAAAGATTGGTTGGCAACTGAAGTTCCTACACTGAGAGATGTACTAAGGAAAGGTCTACATATTCAGAAAAGTTTGCTTCTTTCTGATGATCTTGATAGATGACTTTTTTGAAATGATATTGAAAAGTGAATTTCTAATAAACTTTTAGTAGGCACAGGACGTCCAATAACATCCATAGAACATCCGTCTGGACACCCGCTGGGCGTCTTAGGACATTTAGAGGATGTCCAAGTATTAGTTCAAGTCTAAGTATTTCAAACAACAATGTTAAAACAGTTTAAGTTTTATATTTTTTGTAGGAGATGTCACCTACCTGTAAAAGAAATCTCGGTGGTATTGGCAGACTTGG